TGCTTTTATTACATTTATAAAATAAATTTCATTCTAGAGTGCTATTCAGCAATTTGGGAATATGTGATGGTCTTAGGATGGGCTTTACTAAGTTTCAGATTGTCACAGAAAAATCTAAGTGGATCCATTATGACATACAATATTCTGTCTTAAAGTTTAAAGACTTAAAGCACTCTCCCATATAATAAACTGCTAAAATACAAAACTAAAATAAACCCAAAGCCTTTCCTTTAAGGTTTAAGCTTAAGGAACTAGCACAAGTTAGATCTGGAGAACTGGGTTGGCTCTCCCCTGCAGTAACAACGTATGGATGTCAAGACATACATCTAAAAGCCATGTGCCTCTTTCATGGTTTCTGCTACACACTGTAGGGATTTTCTCATCAAACCCTTCATGGAGACTAAATTAACACAGAGACAGTATTTATGATAAAACTAATGAGATCTCCTCCTTCTTGGCCACAGATTATTTTTCTACTCATTTTAGGAGATAATATCATAATTAGTTTCCCTTTTTGATCTATCTTAGATGCAGAGAATCCCACCCAAATTTATTTTTGAACTCTGATTTAGTAGCTACTGCACAAGTAAGAAAAGATGAACTTTTCTCTTTATACATTCAGCTGCATGTTCCCAGTCCAGATGCTTATTGAGAATCATGATTAGCAGTTGTGATACACATCAGTTGGTTCTCTGCCATTTTCAACCCAGCTGTATCACTATATTACCTCGCTTTCTAGTGTCAGCCCCAGAATATACTTGATAGACCCGTTAAACACACTCAACTGTTACCATGCTGTACAACCTTATCTAGTCCATGCTTCCTTTTTTTTCACTATGTGAATGTGTATTAATAAATGTATTATCAATGATTCAACCAAAATATCTGGGATAATCTACAGAACACAGAGATGGCTAGAGTGGAATTTAAAAAGTTAAAGAAAGGATTCCTTGTCTCCTCCGCCTAGAAGATAATACTGTTTGTGGCAAGCCTCTTTCTGCATAGATCTCTTTGTTAGATCTACTCATGGGCCTATAAATAAGATGATGAGGGGAAATACACCAGGTTTTTAATAATTGTGTCCTATTCTAGATAAACCACTAATTCATTGCTTCGTAGATATGGCCAAATGGTTTTATAATATAAATATTCCCTGGAGCAGTTAAATATAAGAAACTTGCTTTAACTCAATCTACTGGTAAGGATTTTGAGTATTTGACCTATAAATTCTGTTACAAAAGTTTTTGTATGTCTTTACTATGTAACTTGAATTTTTTATCATCCATAAACTCACCAATCCAATTTACATAATTGGTCCCTCCCACAAACAACATTTTAGTCAACATATATCACTGGAAGACTGAACAAGCAGAATTCAAGTACCAGAAACAATGCTGCTCTGTTTCTCATTGTCCGTTCAGGACATATCTAGAGAGGATCCCCAAACACCTGGAAGAAGACTTCTTCTGATTATTGGTAATTTTTAAAGTCCTCTAATCAATTTGAGTCACGTGTCTTAAATAATTAGAATATGTCATCTTACATCATGATCAAATCTCTACCCTTGATTTAAAATTTCATCTTCCTGCCCTCCACCAGCTCCGGTCTGTTATTGCAGAAGGAGTGAACTCTGTTTCCTTTCTTTCCTTATGTGCTAATGATACTTACCTATAAATTGAATATAATAATGGTCCCTACTTCAATAATATAGTTATTATGAAGACAAATGTGATAGTACATAAAAATGCTTAGAAAAATATCTAGCCCATATTACTAACAATGGGAAAATATAAAGAAGTAGAAATCATCCATAATTCCATTGACCCAATTTATATAATTGGCCCCTAGAGGCTGGAGTAAATAACACTGGAGAGCTGTGAGCCTTTTTGGGTCAAAGGAAGGTGCATCAGAACAAGGGGGTTGGTGGGTGTGGGCAGACAAACCATTTCTTGGCCAGGAGAAATAATCCACTCCCACTAGTCTAGCCCAGACCAAAGAACTACAGATTTGACTAGACCTAAAATCAAGTAGCTTAACAAAAACATGTAATTACTTATACTCTTTTGTTTCACTAGAAAATATACCTAATATAAATTAGTTTTTCTTTTTGGATAGTTTTCAGATCAGTATGAATTTGTGTTACCTCTCTACTACTGCATTCTATCTTTCCAAGAGTCACAATAAACATTAGTGCATTCTCTAGACCAGAAGGACTAGGCAGGCAGCTACTTTGTATTTTCTTAAAGAGCCAATTATAGATACCATTTCTAGGTCTCCGGCAAATATTGTGTGTATGTATATATAACTGTATCTATTTATAAATATAGAGAGATATAGATATTACACAAATATATAAACACACATATATTTTTCTGCTCCCAGCTCTGAAGACATAGGCCAATCCCAACACAGACACTCCTATTCTGCTCATTTATTAGATGCTGAGAAAAACCATCTCTTACTTTCAGGTTTCTTGGGTGAGTCAGGCACCAGTCTATCATGTCCCCCATACTGCAGAGGACACACATTAAGGCCTCCACATGGTTCCATTGAAGCTCTAATCACTAGGCTTACAATGGAACTTAAAATAAATTTCTCCAGGTGTGCCTGGATGGCTCAGTCAGTTAAGCGTCTACCTGCAACTCAAGTCATGATCTCAGGGTCCTGGGATCGAGCCCTGGGAAGGGCTTCCTGCTCAGTAAGGAGTCTGTTTCTCCCTCTCTCCCTGCTCATGCTCACTCTCACTCTCTCTCTCTCAATAAATAAAATCTTAAAAAAATAAATTTCTTCAAAATTTATATTCATAAAATCTTCTCCCTGCCCCATCCTCCAAATCTTTTATATACCAGATGTAAGAGGCTCAGCAACACTCTAACAAGTTTTTAATTATTTCCTTTGAAATACTGGTGTTGGGTAGTTCATACTGAAATACACATTCTTGGATATATTAGAGCCTCAGTTAAAAATTCCAATTTATCATCTTGGTTAGCTAGCTAGCTAGCAAATCTATCTACCAATCTACTCTAACTACACATATACACTTACACATTAAAGACTCAGGATGTGAGGTGGGACCGCCTGGGTATAAATCCTGATTGTTTCATTTCACTGTCTGGTCGTCTTTGAGCCAGTCGCTTATTCGTTTCCTGCCTTAGTTACCTCTCCTGTAAACTGAAAATAATAACGGTCCCCACCCAACAACATGATTATTGTGAATATTAATGTGACAATACATTTAAAATAACACTTTGAAAAGTATTTATCCCATATTACTAACATGCTATCTTTAGAAGTAACAATAATACAATCATTATTATGATAATTATTATAAATGTCTACTTTATAACTTGTTTGACTTATGAAGATTTTCACATGCTGTTCAATATTCTTTTTTTTTTTTTAAGATTTTATCTGACAGAGAGAGAGTGTGCACACAAGCAGGGGGAGCGGCAGGCAGAGGGAGAAGCAGACTCCCCACTGAGCAGGGATCCCAGCGCAGGACTCAATCCCAAGACCCTGGGATCATGATCTGAGCTGAAGGCAGATGCTTAACCGACTGAGCCACCCAGGCGCTCCTCAATATTCTTCTTTACATTGTAATTGTATAGTATTCAGCCATACAAATAGCATCATTTTCAATACTAAACTGGACATACATATCATTCCAGAATTTGTCACATCATTGATGATGATGATGTTTATCATCTCTGTTTTTCCCTCTTTATAATATACTGGTTGAACTGGAATTACTGGATCAAAATGTGATTAAGCGATTTAATATACATTGACAAATTACACTGCTAAAAATTAATATCACATTGATACACATATATCATATATCTCAAATATAATGTATTTTTAAGACTACCTTAAAATTCTAGCTAATTATCTATTATCAGAGATTGATTTAAGTATAAGGGCATCCATGGAAGGTAATGAATTGTGTCCTTACAGAGTGTGCAAACAGATTTCTGGAAAATTTTTTGGGCCTGGGAAGCAAAGATCTAAAGTGTTGGATGAGGAGAAATCCAATATATCTTAAGAACCAGACAGTTCCAGTGACACAACTCCAGTGACCATTCTTTTTTTTTTTTTTTTTAAGATTTATTTATTTATTTTAGAGAGAGATAGTGTGTGTGTGCAAGAGAGAGCGGGGAGAAGGGGAAGAGGGAGAGGGAGTCTTAAGCAGATTCCATGCTGAGCTGGGAGCTCCATGCGGGGCTCAAGCTCACAACCCTGAGATCAGGACCTGAGTGGAAACCAAGAGTCGGATGCTTAACTGACTGTGTCATCCACATGCCCCTGACAATTCTTTTTTAATAGAAAAAGAAAATGAAGTAAGAATAAGCAGTAGTAGCTGTCTATCATGGTGGTTCATTATGAGATACTTAGATTGAGCTGCTTTAATTATGTAAATATATCTAGTGGATGAGTGTTAATAAACTTCTATTTAAATAAAATAAATCAAAATTCTGTTTCTACTTAGCATATTATATTTTAATTAAATTCTTGAGTACAGTCGGTAACTGTGAAGTTATACAGTTGACAAAATCAATCACTAAGGAGTGTAAATCTGCTAGATACTGGTCTAACACAAAGCACACAGGAATTAGTCAGTTTTGATAAAAGAAGTTTCACATATGTCATATGTCGTAAGAGGAAACTCTGGTTCTCATTCCTAGCATTCTACATTGATATTATTATAAAGAGTATGCCAATTTTATCAAGGTCCAACAAACTCCAATACCCAGCTTAAAGTATCTTCTGTCTTAAGTAATAAGAACATTAATTTTTCTCTTAAAGATTTTAATTTAAAATGTTCTATTTTGGTAAAGTCATCTCTTGTGACATTCTCTGACTCTTTGTGCCTCTCTTTTTCCCTTCTTCTAGGTCTCTCTCTCTCCACTCACAGAGGCATGTAACTCAAAAAAAAAAAAAAAAAAAAAAAAATATATATATATATATATCACCCTACCACCAACAAACAGCATCGGACCAACCTTATAAAGTAATGGCAATTTTCCTAATTTCAGGAGTGCAATCTGATTCGTTGTATTTTTCATTTTTTGAATCCTTTTTAAATCATCTGCATTTCCATAACCCACATCAATGACTTCAGCCTGAAAGAGAAGAGAAAAAGAAAAATACAGCAAACTGTCCATTTAGTATGACAAAATCATTCACAATAATTTGAAATATTCAAAAAAGAACTATTTCTACTCTTACCCTGACCCAATCACTACAGACGTGATCTTCCTATTTCTATTAGGATAAAACAATTCCTCTGGTCACTTAAAAAAATGGTTTAGAGTCACAAACTGAGGGGTGCTAAAGGGGTGATCGGTGGGGCATGGGGCGACTGGGTGATGGGCATTAAGGAGGGCAGTTGATGTAATGAGCACTGGGTGTTACATGCAACTGATGAATCACTAAATTCTACCCCTGAAACTAATAATACACTATATGTTAACTAAATTGAATTTAAACAAAAATTTTTTTAAAAAGTTTTAGATTCATTTTTCCTTTGCCCTCTCCCTTCTAAACAAGTTACACCCTCAATTCATTCCTCTAACAGATGATCGAATTTGGTATATTATATATTTATGTTTCTGGAATTTGAACCATTTCACAAAATATAAGATTAATGTCCTTACAGTTCGACAAAAATCATACCATTCTTAGACTTACAAACAATCCAAAGGCTCTCAATTGTTATCCAAATTAAGTAAAGTCCGTCATGCACAGCTGTTCAGGTGGTACATATATTCAGTGTGAATGACAACCCCTTGGGTTATGCAGGATACAACCTGTACAACCAACTATATGCGCCAGTCTGGCATTCAAGGATTTTAGAACATGAGCCCAGACTACAATTTCTGTCACATTTCCCACTACCTCCTTACAGTTATCTTATATTCTACATCAAATATTTCTTATTTTTAAAAGTCCCCTTTTATTAATGTGAAAATTTTACGCCTTTCTGGAGATTCTAATGAGAATCCTCTATGTAGTTGCCCCTTTCCTTCTCCTTGAAAAGTACCATACTGAGGGTTTTATCAAACACATATTCCTATGATCCAAGATGATTCCTTATTCCTATGATCCAAGATTATTCCTTTTAGGTTTAGTTTCCATAATTTCTATTATTAAAATAATAATCGTTGGGGTGCCTGGGTGGCTTAGTCGGTTAATCATCTGACTTGTTTTCAGGTCAGGTCATGATCTCAGGTTTGTGAGATCGAGTCCCATGCCACACTCTGTGCTCAGAGGGGAGTCTGCTTGAAGATTCTCTCCTTCTGTGCCCCCCCACCTCAAAAATAAATGTCTTTAAAAAAACTTCAATTGTTATGCTTCCCAATGATAACATGATAATACAGAATGTGCGGTTTAAAACTACAGCATCTACACATTGAGACATTAAGGAGTTAGTGGTGGCAAATAGTGAAAGAATAAAGGTGGAGAATCCAGACCTCTAACTTCCCACCTTTCTCAATTGGAGCTAATTTCTTTGGCCAGTTTCATGCAAAGGGCTTCCATAGAAGGCTCATATGAAAAGAGAATTCTGTTTTTAGAAGCACATGTGAATACCACCAAGACACTGGCAAATCTGTTAGAGGAAACATTTCTGGCATGAAATATTTCCTTAACCATTTCATTCATCTGCATCTGTCAAAACTTTACTGATACAATAAAGCCCTTTTCAAATGTTACCTTCTTTTGTTGTTGTTGTTGTTTTGTTTTTTTATTTTATTATGTTATGTTAATCACCATACATCATTAGTTTTTGATGTAGTGTTCCATGATTCATTGTCATGGAACAATCAAATGTTACCTTCTGATGAACTGTATTTCCCTGTTGCCCAAGTATGTGACCTTCTCTACTTTGAATCCCACAGTGATTCATTTCTGACTCTCATGAGGACCTCACTGGACTCATCTCTTTATATATATATAAAAATTTTCCTCAGTGAAGGCCCATCATGCACATTTCTCACTCTTCACCCAGATGTCCAGCATATACTGTTATTTCATCAGTCGTAAGTTGAAACTATTACAGTTTATATGATATCTCTGGAAAGTTAAGCTGTACTTTCAAATGGATTTCTTAAGAAAAGAGACTATGGACTCTGAGAACAAACTGAGGGTTCTAGAGGGGAGGGGGTGGGGGAATGGGTTAGCCTGGTGATGGGTATTAAGGAGGGCATGTATTGAATGGAGCACTGGGTGTTATATACAAACAACGAATCATGGAACACTACAGCAAAAACTAAAAAAAAAAAAAAGAAAAAAGAAAACCTTGTTAAAAGCTCTTCTATCAGAATGGTTTTGGATAACAATTTTGTTCCTATTAAAATGGGATTTAAAGCAGTGTCTTATTAATATAATTTTTGAGTTTGCTAATACCATTACAATATAAATAACCATGGATTTATTATTTTAAAAGCCTGATTAAATAAATGATCACATAATATTAATAATCATCACAGTGGAAAAATGAGAGAATTCATATTATTCATTTAAATTTTTAAGCTACCTACTAATTATGTGTGATTCACTGATATCATCTTAAAACAAGGATATTACTCAATTGGTTATATTAATGAACATATTTTTCACATTTAGGAGAGGCTGGGGGATGATCATGCTGGCTTGAGACGGTGTGAGCTAGAATTTGACTTTTTGTTTGTGTATATACCAGAAAGATGTGAGAGTTACAAAAACACCAGTTTACATTATTGGAAAATAGCAATACCTTGCCTCAATAATGGCAATTTTAATTAAAGAGTTCTTTAATTATCTTTCTTTAAATAGCACACCAATAGATTCAAGCATTTTAACACGTAAGAAGAGGGTTTTTTTTTTTCCTTTTTTCACAAAGATTGTCCTCAACACAGCATCATTATACCAATTTATTTTGGCTTCTGCATTAAAAATCAATAATTACAGAAATCAGTGTTCTCCTGGTTTGACAGGTGATAATAAAAATGTATCTATTGCCTTCAAAAGATGCCTCTGAATCAGGTCCTTCCTGAAAGTCTTTCCTATTTATCTTTACGCAAACTGAAAAATCACAGCTGCAAGAAAGCACATTGAAGTTTTCTAAGACACAAATCAATATACAATGATGATAAAATGTCAAGCCATTTCTTTCCACACAATTTTGTTTCTACAATGAACCTTTCTTATTATACGTATTCTGTCACACTGGACAATCATCCAGTCAACCAACTGAGGTACTATGTTTAATTTATGTCCAAATACCAAGGATTAAGTTACATCTGACTAGTCCCCTTGGAAAATATCAAATGAGCAGGAACCTATGTACTGGTTGAATTATTCACTTGTGTGCACCAGCTTTTCCATTGAGGACTTCCCTGACACATAGGAGGGGGTAAATGAGAGATGCAAAGTAAAATGGAACTAGTTCTCTTTTGTTTTATTTATTTTTTAATTTAACCTGGGAGAGATATAAAAAAGTCTACACATTATTTTTTATAAAGATTTTATTAATTTGAGAGAGAGAGAGAGAGAACACGAGCCAGAGGGAGGGGCAGCAGGAGAGGGAGAAGCAGACTCCCTGCTGAGCAGGGAGCCCGATGCGGGGCTCGATCCCAGGACCATGAGATCATGACCTGAGCCAAAGGCAGACGCCTAACCGACTGAGCCACCCAGGCACCCCAATCTACACATTAATTTTTATTTAAATTCTATTCTTTAATTTTTGACTAAAAACAAAGAACTTAAAACAGCAACAGCAACTGTAACAAAAAAAACAAACATTTTATACTTCATTAAAGATTTTAAAGTATTACAATGACAGCAGAGAGTGTGGTAGCAGCTAAGAGAAAAAGTGGCATGGTTTCAAAATAAACACTAAATATTGAAATACAATTATCTTTTGTGGCAAAATATGTGAGTAGAAGGAATCATAAACCAGATAATGAAAATTCAAAACATTAAAAAGTGTTATTCTGTTATATCAGTTGTTTAATGCTTCTACACAAAAATGGTGAGAATATCCTGAGCAGAAGCAAAAGAAAGGAATAACTAAGAGAAATGAATAGAATTGTTATTTCCTGTAGTCAGCTAAATAAAATAAATAGGACAATCATGGAAATAACTAGGTCAGAGAAGAATATCTAGGGCCATCTACCTATGGGTGGTCTGTGCTCCACAGTGACGAACAAGGCAGTGCCATGTTTCTCTTCTCTCTTGAGGTAGCAAAAATTATTCATGCTTATGAAAGATGTATGCTTTGAAATTTTTCAGACTTGACATTTTCAACCAAATCAATCACTCTGGATCCTCTTAGCTCTTCTCTAATAGATTCTGAATGTACAGAATGTTTGAAAAGCATTGTTGCTTTGACTAAAACAGTAATTTTCTACTCAGAGTCAGAAATGGTAAGCCCAAGAAGTTCTCATACTGACAAAATACAGTGTCATCAGAAGTACTAGTCACTTAAGTACAAGTTCAGAAATTTACTACTATCTTATATAATCTAGCTTTGAATCCTCTTCAAATTAGTGCTTATGTCTACTAAAAACTTGTAAAAATCAAAAAGTCTTCCCATGTTTACCTCTCTTTTCTAGAAGGCATTAACATGTTAATATTTATGAAGACTTCAAAATTCAGAGACTGCTAGAATTTTATTAGCACTTCTTTTTCAAGTTCACTCAATGGCTTTCCATCACACAGATATTATCATGGAAACCACACTGTACCAAAGCATGAAAAGCAATACTGTTTCCTCCCACTCCTGTGGCAGACATCACTAATCAGTCATCATCTTTTCAAACTCCTTCTCAGGATGGTAATCCAGCTAATGAAGACCAACTAGGGGTTGGCATAAGTAGGGAGCTGTATAAAATAATTAATATTTTAAGGTAAAATAACTATTAATATTTAACAACTATTAATTATTTAAATAATATTTAGCTATTTAAAATCTTTAACAACTGGAACACAAGTACTAATCAGTTAAAATGCACTCCTAACCAATCAGAAGGGATATCAGCTAGTGTGCTAAGCTAGTACATCCCAACTGAATCCAGCATTAAGCATGAGACACACAATCCATTTTGCTGTTTATGGTGTAAAAAATCAGATAAAGAGGTGC